AAAAAAAAAAAAAAAAGAATTTGAATATTATTAAACATTTATTTATATACAACATTCATAGTTTTTCTAACGTCAAAATTTTCATCACAACAAATCATTATCGTTAAACTTTTTCGACTCATGTCTCCAGGATTTGATTTTCCAAAATATTTTATGTATCTTTATAATATTCGAAAAAAAATACTCCCTCCTTTTTTAGATACATAGCAAAATGGATGAATCAAAAAAGTCAAAACGACATTTATTTAAAAAAGGAGGTAGTATTTTTTTTTATTGTATTACCGCAATAGACAATAGAGATTTTGTAGTTATTTTTAGTTAGTTGTGAAATATGTATTTATATAATACCAAAAAATTATATAGTATCAATATAAAAGCAAAAATATTTTGTATTTCAAGACATGAAAAGAATGTGCACCATCCAAAATGGGATGTGTCAAAAAGAAATTGTGTAACTGTAAGTTACATATTATTATTAAATGATGAACATATTTTTATTAAATGAACACCTATTTTTATTAAATGAAATTATTGAATAAAATTTATTAATATATATATATATATATATATATATAGAGAGAGAGAGAGAGAGAGAGAGAGATTAAAGTGTGGAAAGTAATTGTTACATTTCATATACTAATGAAATATAATAATATTTTTTAATCATTCTTTTTTATAATAATTACTATTAATATTAGTCGATAATATTCCACGTTAAAATAAGTTATACACTTATAAAAAAAAGCAATAGGAAATTTTATTTCTTATTATCTCTTTTTTTTTTTATCTTATTAAGTAGGTTTTAGAATAAATATTTACTTTATATGGCATAGCAAACTCTTTAAAATCGTGTAAATAATTGACAATAGTAATATTAATATTATTTAAACTAATTAATTGGCCATAATCTCTTTTATAATGATTATATTTATAAAGTGTCATATGCTCATCGTTTAATTTATATTTTTAATATAATATTCATATATATAAATTATACATTTATTTATTTTTTTTTCATGTGCATATGAATACTATTTTTTATTTAAATATTAAATTCTTGTTTTTATTGAGTAAATTGCAATGCATAAAAATAAAGGCAAATGATGTCTGAAATAAAATAACAAGTATTTTAATTGATATATTATGGATAGCGAATAATTGATAATTGATTAAATTAGCCAATTTGATTACCTCGTAAAAAAAAAACTAAATCTATAATCTTTAGAGAAATTTTATGGTCCCGTTATGGAATCATTCCGTCGAAGTTGGTAACCATTAAATCAACTATCCATGACGATTGTACATGATGATCTAACAGTTACGAATCCCGACGGCATGGTTATGTAACGAGATTGTAACATTTCCCAATCATTTATCTTCGATATTCAGCTTTTTCGAAATGAACTATTTGAATCTAAAATTTTATTTCAAATTGTTGTTTATTATAGATTTGGCAACGCAACTCGATAGAATTACAAGAGTTTGGGCTCAATCCTATAGTCTTAAATGAATGGCCTGTTTGATCCAATCTATGTTACCGTGCGACTATATGTGTATATTTTTGTTATGAACTTGGCCTTGGTATTTCAAAATACTTGCCCGGGTGAATATCATATTGACCCAATCCTTTGTTAAAATTTCAAAACTTGTTGAGTGTAAATTAATTAAATAAGTTATTCAATTGAGATTTTTAAAGACTTTTTAAAAATCCAAAATTCTTGATGTATTAATTAGGTTTATTAATATTTTTTAAAAGTTTTGAGGTATTAAATTGAGATTTTAAGAAGACTTATAAAATCCTGAGATATTTAAGAGTGATTTCCTCCTAGATCTGAAGTGAAACCGGTTAAGACGAGCTCCGATCTGTCTGAACTGCTTCTAAATCGTCAAGAACACCTACAAGAACTGATAGCCGGAGGGGATTTCGCGTAGAATCTCCGATGCTTAAGTCAGTATCAGAAGGTGAGAGAGATGTTATGCCAATAGAGCAGCAGCAACATATGAAATGTATGGAGAGTGTAAAAGTTAGGATTTGGTGTTACATCAGCCCCTTTTAGAGGGGAGAATACATGCCTGAAATACCCAAGAAGCCCCTAGTCGACCGGCATGGTTACCCGATTTATTTGTATCATAATCACCTATTAGTCAGGTCTGAGTCAGCTTAACATTCTTTCTTATCCATTAAGCCTATTCAACACGGAGAAACAACTGACATATATGTCCTCGAGTAGCAAGTCGACCTCGATCAGTGGGGTCTATGAAGTCAACCTCGAGCAGCAGAAGGTTGACTTCATATTAGTAAAGAGATGGGAATAACCATCAGTGAATCTTGTTTTTAGGTCCTCGAGATCGGTAAATCAACCTCGAGGGAAGCGAAATCGATATCGAGGAGCTAAGAGCTTCTCGAGGCAAGAGAGATCGTCAACGTAGCACAAATAGTCGATATTGAGGAGTTGAGAGCTCCTCGAGGCGACTGAAGTCGACTGTGCAGAATAGCGAGTTGACTTCGGATGGCGATAATTTTCATGGTGACTATCCCAAGTTCAGATGTTAATCTTGAGTGATTATCTATCAACTCGATTTGCATCCCGAACGAGCTGCTTATGTTGTAGTTTACCATAATATGGCTATATCAATGAGGGTATATTCGTTTAGGATGTCAAGTGCCATTTAGAGACTTTTTGATATTTTTTAAGATTTTTTGGATTTGGAGAGATCCTGTGAAATCTTAAGACTGAAGGTGGGATTTGACATGATATTTCATATATTGTTCTTTAGAAATCTTAACAAATCTTAGAAAGTCTTCACAAATTCTAGTCTCAAATAAGTTAACTACCTCAAGATTTTGTAAGACCTTTTAAAATCTCAAATGAATACACTAAGATTTTTACAAGTCTTGAAAAGTCTAAATTAAATACACTATGATTTTTGAAGTATTAAAAAATCTTTAGAAATCACAGTTGAGTATTTGCACTAGGAATTGACAAGAGTTTTTAAAATTTGATGGGACTTATAAAGAAAAACAAAAATATATTGAAGTCTCACCTCCAGACTTAAGATTTCATAGGATTTCTCCAAATTCTATTTTCCATATATGAACGATGTGGGACAACTCACAAGTAATATTCTAACACGCCCCCTCACTTGTGAGTCCTTCGGAAGCCCAAGCCCAACTAGGCGCCCCAAACCTACTAGAAGCAGACTTCCTAGTAGACTCCCATAAACGGGTACGTTGGGAAGCAAACTCCCATAAACGGGTACGTCGTCGCACGGTCCCAATAGAACCGAGCTCTGATACCATGAAAGAAACTGAGGGGGCAGACTCCCATAAACGGGTACGTCATCGCACGGTCCCAATAGAACCGAGCTCTGATACCATGAAAGAAACTGGGGAGAAAACGGTGCGGGCCCACTAACATGAAGCGTACCAAAGTGGGAAAACCCAAATGAAGCCCAATGGGGTTCCATCCCAAAACCAATTGGTGAAAGGAGGAGTAACCCATTAGACTTATAAGGTAGGTCTATTTTCCATATATGAACGATGTGAGACAACTCACAAGTGATATTCTAACAATCCCAAATCTCAATAAGTCTCTAAATGTCAATGGAAATACAAACGAATACACCCTCTAACTCATAATCGGGCTCTTACCGAGATGAATTTAGATGATTGAACCTGAGTCATTCAGCAACTATCTCATAAACTTGTTAAGAGTTTAGATCAACCCTTCACAAATCGACTTAAGCTAAATAGAAAAGGAAACTATCTATTTATTTATATAATTGCAGGAAAATAATTTATGATAATTTTTAGGTTAATTATGGTAATACATTGTTATATTTTACATTAATTACATAATAATTATATTTTATAACTATTATATCATGTATATATATATATAATTGCTGGCATGTAGCATTTAATAAAACATTTAATAAAACCTCTAAAATTTTCCCTCCAATTTCGGTTACAAAATTTGTCATTAATATTATTTACATTTTACATTAATACATCTTAATGAGTGTAATCATATATTTTTCTATTATATTATATAATAGTTATTGCTAATACCAACTAATAATAATTCACAATAAATATAAATTACATAATTATAAACAATTGTTTCAAGTTATTTATATTAACATCAATATTATCTTTTTCTTTTGTATCTCATGACAAAATTTCTTTAAAAATAATTAATATATATTTTTAATAGCATAGTCAAACAACTTTAGAAGCTTATAAACAATTATTTTAATAATAATAATAATAATAATTATAATAATAATAATCAAACTGTTATTATCTAATGATAATAAACAATTGTTCATAATAATAAAATCGTTAGTTTATTTTTCCTAATGATCAAATTTTTGAAAATGTAATATGTTCATTATCTAGAATTTAAATATTAAATTCTCAAATATTACTTAATAATATTTTATGTACATCTGTGCATGTGCACAGGATATCTACTAGTATATATAATTACTAGCCAATAGCATTTAATAAAACCTATTTAATAAAACCTCTAACTTTTTTCCCTCCATTTTCGGTTACAAAATTTAACATTAATAATTTTTACTTCCCACATTAATACATCATATTAAGTGTAATCATGTATGTTTCTATTATATTATATAATAGTTATTGCTAATACTAACTAATGATAATTCACAATAAATATAAATTACATAATTATAAACAATTGTTTCAAATTATGTATTTTAACATCAATATTATATTTTTCTTTTGTAGCTCATAAAAATATTTCTTTAAAAACAATTAGTATATTGTTTTAATAGCATAGTTAAACAACTTTAATATCTTATAAACAATTGTTTTTTAATAATATATATATATATATATAATTGCTAGCTAATCATTAAATAAAACCTCATCAATAAAATCTAATTAATAAAACTTCATTTATTTTTCCTCCAAAAGAAGTTACAAAATTTGTCATTTATATTTTGCCTTTCATATTAATACCCCTATTAAGTGTAATTATGTAAAAAAAATAATAGCATTAACTATTATATAATATAATAGTAAAAAATAGCATTAACTACTATAATAATAATAATAATAATAATAATAATAATAATAATAATAATAATAATAATAATAATAATAATAATAATAATAATATTTTGAAACAATAAAATTGTTTATACTTATGTAATTTATATTTAGTGTGAAATGTTATGAGTTGGTAACAGCATTAACTATTATATAATATAATAGCAAAAAATTAC